ACTTGCTGAGGGTTTGTAGGTACCCTTGCTGTTGCCGTGTTTGTACCCCAAGATTCCATTCAGCCCACAGGCTGCATTTCCCGCCAGTTGCAGGGTTTCCACGGAAACAGGCAGCATTGAGGAAGTCTGAGAGGCTGGTTATGGAGAGCTTTACTCATGGCACTGAAAACCCTGGGAATTTGCAACCAGGCGGCTAGAAATTAGCTCCAGCAAAAATTCTGATTTGCTGATTCTTTTGATCAATAAATTTTGGCCAGAAAATAAAAATAAAACAGTTCTCCTGTAGACTGGAGGCAATGTTGAAACCTGCTCATGCCCGGGGCGCGTTTCTGCCACACCTGCTTTGCGAGGTGCTCCTGCCCCACGCCTCGTGTGTGGGGTGTGTGGTCCCCAGGTGTCTGCGCCTCAGGCCCGAGGGGCACCTGTCCCTCCCCACACTGGGGGTAGATGCCCCTCTTGGCCTCAGTATGGAGGGGTCTGCCACCTGCTGGGAGGGACAGGGTGATACCATATGTATAGTCTTTTAAAATGTTTACTTTTCAGCACAAAGATAATTATATACATGGTACATAGTCTGATGTGTTGAAATGTGTGTATGTTGTGGATCGGCCCCTTCAGCTAGCTGACATGTGTATTCCCTTGCTCTTGCGTGGTGAGCAAATCCTGGGATCTGCTCAGCCATTTCAAGGATGTGACATTTGCGATGTGTTGTTACTCTCATCTTGATGTTAGTTCCCAAGGTCGCTTCCTGGCCTGCTTCCTTGTTGGTAACCAGTTGCTGTGTCATGCAGCACTCCTTGCTGTTACCAGCTGGCCAGTCTGCCTGTGGCCTCGCTGCGGAGGACCCTGCAGCCTGTCTACTGCCCACGCCTGCCAGGTCCTCCTCCTGTGGCCAGTGTGGTCCCTCTCCTGCCCAGCTTCTCGCCCATCCCTACCCTCTCCCAGGACAGAGGGGCCTGGTGGGGCAGCCGTCTGTGGCTTCGGGCCTTTCAGCACTGGCAGCCCAAGCACGGGAGGCATCCTTTGGTGGGCTGCGGCCGAGGGGCCCAGGCCCAGGCCTGCCTTCCTCCCACCACACCGCCCACACCACTGGAGCTCTAGGAAGCTGTCACTGTGTTCTTTCACTTCGCTGCTGTCCTTTTCAGTTCAGGGAAAGTTGGGCCGGCCTCAGCTCTGCACGTAAAGACGGCTTTCACACTAGAAACCCAAAGCCCTTGCTGCAGAATTGGCTCTGTGTCCACTCCTCGGCTCCATCGTGTGCTCAGGAACACATGTACAGCCATTGCTGCCACACAGGTGTGTGCACACTTGCTACCGCGTGTGCAGCTCTCTCATGGGATTTGTTCGCAGGAGTGGGAAAGTTACACAGGCCAAACATTTGCTTCCTTTCCTCTGAAACATATGCACATTAGCCGAATGAGGCCAGGACAGTACCGGACTTGTGTGCCTGCTGCCTGGCCTGGGGGAAACTGCTCCACCAGGGGCAGCCTCAGTTTCCATGAGTTGCACCTGAAGATTTAGGATGCTTCATTCCCCTCACTTAAAACATGACCTGTTCTGGCTTAGATCTGAAATGTCCCCAAAGCCTCGTGTATGTAGAAGTGATTGGCTCTTGGGGTCCTGTACTCATCGTGCCTGGATGAGTTCGTATCTGCACAATTGGGAAGTGGGGCCTGGTCAGAGAAGGCGCTCACTGGGTGCTGACCTGGAAGGGTGCATCTCCCTCCGCGGCTCTTCCCCTGTCCCTCTGCTTCCTGGCTGCATGCTGTGAACAGCTTTGCTCTGCCATGCCTTCCACCATGCCATTTGTGCCGTGGAGCAGCCAGCCACAGACTAAGCCCACTGAAGCTGTGAGCCAAAGTAAATCTCTCCCCTTTGAGTTGTGTCAGGTGTTGTATCTCAGCTACAGGAGAGCTGACCGACCCATCCCACACATCACCATTTCCTTTAGACACATGGGAACCAGATCCAGTTCCTTTGCTGGAGGAAAGGAACATGGTGGGCTGTGCTTTGATGGTAAAGGAAACAGGTATAGGAAGTACTGGCTGGGCCAGTGGCAGTCAACAGAGGAAGAGCCTGAATGTGGTCAGGGCTGGGGAGGTTGGTGAGTGATAAGGTGTGCTGCCCCTCACGTTGTGTGGAGCGAGACATGATGCACGTGTTGGTTTGGCAGCTGCTTCCCAGGCCTTATTTCATTTGATCCTCAAAGCAGTACTGTAAGGTGTGCAGGAAGGTGGTGCTGTCCCTTTTTGTGGCTGAGGAAGCAGATCTGGACAAGGCCCAGGTGTTTCAGGAAGTCCCGACAATGTGGAAGCCTGTGTCCCGATGACCCCAGGGTGCCGGTGTGGAGCTGGCATCTCCAAGACCTGGTTTGAGCATTGGAGTGTTTTCTGTTTCACCACATGGCTCGCCCAGATTCAAACACGGGTATCAGATCCCCCAATTCAGAGACAGTCACTAGAGGTTGGGGTATCATCTGACTCATCCACATCATGCTTTAAAGATGGGGCATGGGAAACTCCTCATGTCCTTCTGCAGGTGGAGGTGTGCCCTGCCCTCTGTGCGGTGTGCCCCTCGTGTTCTGGTATTCCTGCCCACGGGACAAGATTGTGATCGGGTTGGACACTTGGCATCCATACCTGAGGAGTCTCCTGACAGGCACATTGCACGCAGGATGCCTGTGCCAAGATACGTTTGCTCTTCATGTGTTAAAGCAGATGTGAGGTGCCCTAAGGAGAACACAGTGGTGGAGAACAAGCTAGTGGCTGCCAGCACTGAGTGGGGGTGAATCTCAGGGACACTGCGGGCCTTTCTGGCGTGGACAGAGCTGTGTTGGAGGGTGTAGACTGCCGGGGTGCTAAGGTACACATGGGCTACAGTTGGTAGTTCTGCATGCTCGGAAGAGAAGGTTCAGTTTTATTGAATGGTAATTTTAGCAATAATGTCAAGTAGGTGCTGATTAGTTAATGAAGCTAGTGTGGCACTTACAATTTTACTATAAGGATACATATGTACCATTTATCCTCAGAAGTTGACAGATGGGGCTGGGGATGCAGTTCAGTGGTAGAGAATTGCATCACATGCACAAGGTCCTAGATTAGATCCCCACACTGCAAAAAAATGTTGACAAATGAATAAAATATGTGTATTAGACAAAAATACTCTGAGTTATTACCATACTGCAAGGCAAAATAATGGTGATAGGCATGTATCAGTAGTGGAACAGATTTACCACTTTTCGGTGGACCTTCCCGATGTGTCCGTTTGTCCAGACAAGTGCTGAAAGTCGGTCCCACCATGCACATAGGTGCCCTTATACTCAGGTCTTCAGCTTAGGTTCCTGCAGAATGACAGATGGCTGTAGGGTAGCTTCTCAGTTGAGGGTTGAGGGTGAGTGTTTTGGGATCCATGGATTTAGGAAATGGTAGGGTGGGTACACGCATATGCTGGAGGACGTACGAGCACCTGCAGGGCATGGTGCAGGATGAACACGCAGGCCCTTTGCGCAGAGTTGGTAAGAATTCAGCATGGCCACAGCAGTATCAGAGCCCGCTGGGCCCTCGTGGCTCGTACCCCGTGTAGGGGCACAGGGCCAGGGCAGGAAGTACCCGGGCACCAAGGCACCGCTACTCCCCTGGCTGGCTGCGTGAGCCCAGGCTCACTTTGTTGACGTGGAAATAGAAAGGAGGTGGCACTGTGGCACATGGGTTGAAATCAGGCCTTCATCTCTGCCCGTGTGTGAGTGGGCAGATTCCTGGTCAGGGGGGGCTGTGTCTGAGCCGTGGCTCCTGCTCCGACCCTAGCCCCCCATGCCGTCGGGCGGTGTGGACCGAGTCTCGGCACAGACGAACCATTTCTGTTCTCTTTAAACTAAATTTAGGAGAGATCGCTGGGAACTCTGATGTTGGGTGACCCAACTGCTGGAAATTTGGCTCAGATTAACTGTCAGTTCTGGGTGAGGATATTACTCTGGGGAGGCTGGGAACTTGGGATACTTAGTGATTTTTCTATAAGTCTACAGTCTGAGAAGAACTCAATTCCTCAGTCTTTTTACGAATGTGATCTTCAGATTGGAAATCTTTTAGTGATACTGTGAGAGGTTTATCTCTTCCTTGATGATTCTTTTATCTCTTTTAGGCATGACCTTTGAATGAGTTGAAGCATTTTCAGTATTTTCATACTCCTTTTTGTGCTCTTCATATTCTAATTTACTTAGCAATGATGCCTTCTCAAGATCAGCTTCGGACGTTTCAGATGTCAGCTGTTCATCTCTTTGTCTCCATTCTTGCCAGTTTTCTTCTCGTGAATCCTTCTGCATGGGCTTTGACAGTGGAAGGTCCTGATGAGCCTTTCAAATGGCATGAGAGGATTTCTGGAGAGTCTTCTTAAAAGCAAGATTCCTCAGCTCATTTGCTTCACTCTGTTGCACTTCTTTCTTTTTTCTCTTTTTTTCTCATTTGTAGCTGATTTGCTTCCCATAGTGTGAGACTTTGCAGTCTTCCGGCCTTTCCCTTTTCCAGGCTCAGACTCAGAACCACTGCCACTATCTGCTTGTAGAAGGGCAAAACGCGAGGCTGTAGTGGGAACAGAACTAAGTACTGCTGAGGCCATGGTACAGATTTTTCTTTTCAAATGCTTCCGTCAAGAATAATTCCTCATTCCCAAAAGACAGCCCCGTTCAATTGCAGGATGTGACCTGTGCTCCAGAACTTACTCGCAGCTACGCACAGGAAGACGGGGGCGGGCGATGCCCAGCTCGGGCAGCAGCTGCTTCAGACCTCTGAGCGGGCCGCCGCGTACTCCCTGGGCCTTCGTCTGGCCTCGTCCTCCCCAGCAGGCGGCCACTCCGGGCCTTGGGACTCGCGGATCAGGAGGCGGCTGGGGGCCTCGCACGGGTGCGGGGTGCGGGCTTCGGGCCCTCTGTAAGTCTACAGTTATTTCCAAAAGGTTAGAAACCGTGGTGTTGCATTCATGTGTTCCTTTTTTTGCTTACTCGGTAGACAAAACTTACCTGGGGCCGGGACAGCTTTACCACGATCTGCAGAACCTGCTACATGACCTGAACGTCGTTGGCCAGATCGCCCAGCTGATAGGGAGCCTCAGAGGGAACTACCAGGTAAGGGCCGCCCTGTGCATGGGACCCTGTTTCAGCCTGGACCTCTGAGTGGGCTGAGCTTGCTGCGTCAGGGAGGATGGGCCCACCTGACCGCCCGTCCTGCTGGGGGAGGTGGGACGTGTCAGTCCATTCTCTCCACTTGGCAGACACTGCAGCTCGCCTCGGCCGTGCACACTGTGGTTGGCCCCGGCCTTGGCTTTTTCACAGTTGAATACGAGCACAGCTGTCTGCCTGGATTTTTGTGCTACAATTACAGCTTTGCCTTTTCTCCTCTCGGTATTTTTAAACATTTAAAAGCATGCATCTCCGTTTTCTTTGTAGAACTTAAACCAGTCGGTAGCCCATGACTGGACCTCAGGCTTACAGAGCCTGATTTTGAAGAAAGAAGATGAAATCAGAGCTGCCGACCGCTGCAGAATTCAGTTACAGCTGCCTGGGAAGCAGGACAAGTGAGTGACTTCAAAATGAAACCTTCTTGGCCAAAGCTGGGAAGAAAATGGTCCCTTATCAGAGTGTGTGTTTAGTATTTTCTCGGTTTGGCAGCCCTGTCACATCAGAACTCACTCGTCTGTTATTTCCGGCAGGTCTGGGCGGCCTACTTTCTTCACAGCCGTGTTCAACACATTCACCCCTGCCATCAAAGAGGCCTGGACCAGCAACCTGCAGATGGCCAAGCTCGCCCTGGGTAAGACGAGCTGCAGGATCCCAGTGGGTTGGGCAGGCTCCAGGCAGGGCCGAGAGGAGGCGCCCCGCGAGGGTGGGGTCCCTGCCGTCATCTGGGAGGAGGTTTCAGAATGGGGATACTAAGCCTAGCACTAGCGACTTGTGAGAAGTTTGTATGCAATCCAGGGCCTGTGGGAACCAAGCCAGGGCTCCCATGGAGTCAGGATAGCTCTGTGATGAGCACAGGAATGGTGAGTGTGAGGGTCAGGCCTGCCAGGCTCTGCGGTGGCTCAGAGGGCACCCCAGTGTGCGCCACCTGGCTGCCGTAGAGCGTGCAGGGTCTGGGTGTGACCTGATGTCGTGCTCCTGGTCCTGGGTGCCTTTTCCTCGATCCGCACGTGTGTGATTTACACAGCTCTCCTGGGGTGGTGTGTGCACGTGTGCACGCATGCGCACATTTGTGACAGCCTCCGCACGCAGTCTGAAGCATTTCCTGGGAATGACACAGAGCAGCGGCAGGGGTCGGGTGTGGGTCCTCTCGTGGTCAGTGGTCAGCGGCAGGGAAGGCCTTCAGTTGTGCGGGAGCCTGCCTTGGCTGTGCTCGTCCCGGAAGGAGGCCTGGCTGGGCTCCATCTCTCTCCCTGAATGACTGAGCGGCTTCAGAGCAACTTGACCAGCCTGGAATGGGCCCGGTCTCGGCACAGGGGACAGGCTGAGAAAACAAGCTGCCGTTAGCTGCCTTTCCCAGCTCCTCAGAGCGCAGGTGGCCATCACTGCAGTAGTGAAACCGGTCTGTGCTCATGTCCTTTGCGCTTGCGCCCGCGACGTCAGCACATGCAGGGACTTGCGCTCGGCTCTGGCGCTCACCTGGGCTGTGCTCTCTCACCGCAGAGGAGGACAACCATCTGGGCTGGTTCTGTGTGGACGACGATGGGAGTCAGACCAAGAGGGACACGCACCCGCTCCTGGTGGGACACATGCCTGTGATGGTGGCCAGGCAGCCGGAGTTCAAGGTGGGGCGCGGCGTTTGCTTGGAAACACTCAGGGCTGCTCTGGAGCCTGAGACCCGGGCCGAGCCGCTGTCTGTGGTGCCCGGAGCTGGGCAGTCCTGTGGGTCATGGAGCGGCGAGCCGAGAGGGTTCCGCCATGCCCAAGTCTTACCGCGAGGTCCGAGGCGTGCTTGTTGCGCAGCGTGGCGGCTCAGGTCCCCTGCCACAGAGGCCAGAGCCCTTCCCGCATTAGCGCCACAAGCTTGACCTCCCTGACTTCCGGGCTGCAGCCGAGCGCTGGACTCAGGCACGGCCGGCCGGCACTCTGGTGCTCTCTCTCGGTGGGTTCCATGGTTTGGAGAATGTGCCTTTTTGTAGTACAGGGCCTTTGCACTGAGCTACTTGCCCAGCCCCTTAGACAAATCGTTGTTGAGACGGGGCCTAGACAAGTTGCCTTTCTTTAAGGGGTAAGTGGATGGCACCGTTGTTCACTCCTGGTCTTCCGCCCCAGCCTCACCCCCTCTGATGTGCCCCTTGATGCTGGCTTTCCTCATGGTCGAGGGGTTCTGAAAATGAAACACCAAAGACTAAATCCACTTCTACAAACTAAGCGTCTAAGACTTACACAGTTGACCATGGACTCAGCCCATCAAAAGTATTCAGATAAAATCGTGTCTGTATGGGACATGTGCAGTGTTTTCATCATCATTCCCTACCCAGTACGGTGTAACAGCCCTTTGTGTGGTGAGTACGTCACATGAGGTTGAGGAGTAAGCTACAGCTGATGTAAAGTCTCTGGTCGGATGCAAATGTACTGTGTGAAAATCCGGTGCTGTTTTACATGACAGACCTGAGTGTCTGAGGATTTGGGGTTCCCTGAGATCCTGGGATCCCCATGGATGCCACAGCATGGCTGCAGATTCGTCTTTCACCTTCCTGCTTTAGTCTTCGATAGACAATGACCCTGAGGTTGTGGTTAGATGATCGGATGCCATTTAGGAAATGACAGGGCCGTTCTTCAGCCTTGATGCTGGGGAAGAGACTGTGTTGTGACCCTGTTCTGCAAAGAGCTGTTGAAAAGCTCAGAAGGCCACAGTTCAGAAGAAAGGAATAGAGCTAAATACAGAGAAAATGCCTCCTCTGATGTTGATGTGCTGGTCTAGTGTGATCGTCTAGAAAGTACTGGGCGTCTTATAAGAGTGTTCACTACCCTGGTGGGCTTCATGAAAGAGCAGCTGGTGTGTGACCACAGGGGAGGGGTTGTGGCCTTCCGTTTACAGGAAGCATGCAAGCAGGGTTGGTCACAAGATAAATCTCTGACGTAAATGCAATACAAGAGAAATTCTCACAGAATGCAGAGGAAAAGGCCAAAGAAATTCAGATGAGAAAAGAGAAAGAGAGAGAGAGGCTGTCAGGGAGGAGTACCTGACACAGAGGACAAAGAACATGAAGCCAAACCAGTAACTGGAACTAATTGATGAAGACTTCCCAGAGTTGAAGAATGAAGTGAGCTGCAGAAAAGGCTCACAGGGCACCTTGAAAATTCAGTGAGGAGAAAAAAGCAACACCTAGACATATCCTGATGGCTTTTTAAAATTTTAAGGATAGAACTAGAGAAAACAATCCAAAAATTCATTTGGAACCAGAAAAGACCCAGAACAGCAAAAGCAATTCTGGGCAACAGAGACATGGCAGGGGGTATCACAACCCCCAACTTGAAACTATACTACAAAGCTACTGTGATAAAATCAGCATGGTACTGTCAAAGGAACAGACCTGAGGATCAGTAGAATAGACTAAAAGATACAGAAACAACTCCAGACATACTCAGCCACCTCATCTTCGATAAAGGAGCCAACCACCCTCATTGGAGGAAAGATAGCCTATTTAATAAATGGTATTGGAAAAACTGGATTTCAACCTGTCAGAGATTAAAACTAGACCCATACCTATCACCATGCACTAAACTAAGATCGAAGTGGATTAAAGATCTAAATATCAAGACAGAAACACTAAACCTGCTGCAAGATAAGCTAGGTAGAACTCTTGAAGACATTGGCATAGGAAAAGACTTCATGAACAAAACCTCAGCAGCACGGGAACTAGCAGAAAGAATCAACAACTGGGATCCCACCTTATTAAAAAGCTTCTGCACTGCAAGAGAAACCACGAACAGAGCTAAGAGACAACCTACAATGTGGGAAAAAATTTTTAGCAGCTGTACCTTAGACAAAGGCCTACTATCTAGAATATATAAAGAACTGAAAAAACTCAAACCCCTAGATTCAAAGACCCAATTCAAAAATGGGCATCTGAAATGAACAGACATTTCTCAGACAAAGAAGTAAAAGCAGCAAATATATGAAAAAATGTTCAACATCACTGGTCATTTGAGAGATGCAGATGAAAACAACACTGAGATTCCACCTCACCCCAGAAAGAATGGCTGCTATCAAGAAATCAACCAATAACAAATGCTGGTGGGGCTGTGGGGAAGGAGCAACCGTGCTCCACTGCTGGTGGGAGTGCAGACTGGTGCAGCCACTGTGGAAATCAGTATGGAGACACCTCAAAGAACTAGGGCTAGAGGTCCCATTTGACCCAGCTATTCCCCTGCTGGGTATCTTCCCCAAAGAATTAAAAGAATCATACCACAGCGATATATGTGCACCTATGTTCATAGCAGCACAGTTTGTAATAGCTAAAGCTTGGAAACAGTCCAAGTGCCCATCAACTGGAGACTGGATAAAGAAAATGTGGTTTTTGGGGCCAGGGATTTAGCTCAGTGGTTTTGCCATCTGCTGTGCAAGTGCAAGGACCTGAGTTCGAGTCCCGGTACCAAAAAAGGGGAAGATGTGGGTTTTTTATAAAATGGAGTACTACTTAGCCATAACGAATGAGAAATTAGAGACATTTATAGCTAAATGGATGCATATAGAGGCCATACTCGTAAGTGAAATAAATAGAACACATGTGTAAATACCGAATAGTTTCTCTAGTGTGAGAAACTGAAAGTATAAATAAGGATTAAAATGATTAAAATGAATAATTGATAATTTGAAATAGGAAGAAAAGGTCCAAAGGAGTAGGGGTGGTGGGAGGGGAAGGAGAAAGGAAAGAAGGGAAAGGAAAAATTAGGAGAAAAGAAAAAAATGGAAGCAAAGTCTGTGTAACTAGGGAAGGGAGCACAGGGAATGGGAAAAAAATAACCAGGATTCATCCTGTACAGGTACAGGCTCCCAATGATAAATGTAGACGTATTGTATACCTAAAATGTACCAATAAAAGAATTTTAAAAAAAGAATTTTAAGGATAAAGAGAAAACTTTGCAAGTATCCAGACAGGGAAAGCAGGTTACCTATATAGGGGCAAAAGTCACACTGACCTCAGATTTTTCTCTTACAGAGAAAGACAATGGAATAACATCTACAGATATTTTAAGGAGAAATAATTTAGAATCAAGAATTATATAACCTGCCAAGTTAGCATTTGTGTATGAAGGCAGGTGGAAGACATTATCAGATACCAAAGGTTTGGTTAGGAAAATATATCCACCAAGAATCTTCTCTGAAAAGTTTGCTGCAAGATTTACTGCAGCCAACATAAAATTAAAGAGCAGGGAGATAGTTGTATGAAACAATTGATGGTTAAAACTAGTTAAGAACAACTGGGGATTTAGCTCAGTGGTTCTGGTGCCTGCCTCACAAGCGCAAGGTCCCGAGTTTGATCCCTGGTACCAAAAAAAAAAAAAAACTAGTTAGGAACATGAAGTCTAAAACTGTTACATATAGAGTAATAAACCTAAATGCAAAATAGATTTGTAAGCTAGATCTAAAATTTTTAGCTTGTGTAGTTTTAAGCTGTCAAAGTTCATGGCAAATATTCACTCTATTGGGGAAATCAATACTGTTTTATTTTTGTCATATAATATAAACACTCGTGTTGTTAAGCCAAATGTATGTTAGATAAAAGTGCTTTGTCACTGTGGAAAGGACAAGTCCAGTAAAGACATTCTGAATATTAATCTGGCAAAATTGGAAAATGGTACTGTTCTGTTTCCTTAAAAAAAAAAACTAGCAAGTTCATAATGTTAATACTGATAATGTAAGGAGAATGTTTCCAAAGCACTGGTTGGAGAGGGGTGGATGTGTTTGAAATACTGAATTGGGAAAACCAGTAATTAGTGCACTACTGTGGTTCATATGTGAATTTCTCATTGAGTTGTATCCAAAAATAGATTATATACATTCCAAGTTTCTGGAATTCAAAACAAGTGAAAAAATAAAAACAGGAAAAAATAGTAAACTAAAAACACCAAGGAAGTCTTATAATTTGCATGAAAGATATTGACAGGTAGAGGTGACTTAAACTGGGTTAAATTCCCAACTAATAGATCCAAATTGAGTAAAAGAAAAATCCATCTCTAATCTGAATATTCACATTTGTGTAAAACAAAGGTTAAAGGGATTGAAGGGTAATAGAAACTCTTTAGGTCGTAGAAATGGAGAGGACATTTTTATTAGGCAGAAATAAGGATGTTAGAAGAAATTTCACAGTTGAGACACTTGCGATCATATGTAAGATCCATGTTCAATAGCTTGATGTGGGTGGTAGTTTTACTGTTGTAAACTGATACAGATACATAATTAGTGATTTTATGTACTTAAAATTCAGAGTAATACTTCAACTACAGAGACTATGTGCAGCACAGAAAAAGAAAAAAATGATGTCTTGAAGCCTCCGAGTCCCACTTGACACACGCTTGATTTCCTCCACTTTAGATCGAATGTGCTGCTTATAACCCCGAGCCTTACCTAAATAATGAAAGCCAACGAGATTCGCTCTCCATGGCGCGCGGCTTCCTGTGGGTAAGTCTCTTTCAGCACAAGTTCATGAGGAATCGTCAGCAGTTGGTGTAGGGAGAAGCCTGGGTTCTGGGTGTCCTGAGTCTCAGGTCTCCATGTTGCATCATACGGGCAGACAGGAACCTTCCTCCGAAGGGGGCTGATGACCTTGGGAAAGATGTGGAATTTTTAGGAGTTAGAATGTTTATTTCTGTTATTTTTTTCATCTAAAACTTTTTACTAGATTGAACTCAGTCCAGAGAAAACTAAACTACTAGAATATTTCTTCCGTTCTGGTGATTAAATTGCATGGACTCCCCTTCCCCCTTCCAAAACATTGCTGGATCTTTACTCTGGAAACCTAGTGGTTGAAATTAAGCAGTCCTACCTGTCAGGCTGCACTCACCCTGGGCCTTGCGGGTCCTTGGGTCTCAGGCCTCAGGGCCCTTCCCAGCTGCACCTGCTCCGCTGAACATCTGTCTCCGGGCCACCGAAGCCTTGCTCACCTGTCCCTGGCTGTGTTAACTATGGAGTGGCCTGGTCACTGGGGTTCACTTGCACCACCCTGGAGCTCGGGGAGAGGCTGGACGTTCAGATTTTAGCAGAGCTGTGTTCTTCCCAGGACCTGTGCCTTGGTGCTTTGTCTCTCTGCTGACCACACCCTGCACCCTAGGACCAGCACAGGGGCCAGGCAGCCCTTGTCCTTCCAAGCCAAAAGGGTCAGAGGAGGGAGGAGCAAGGAGGGAAACAGCTTGCTCAAGGTTTGTGGGAAGGAAAAGAGTCAGTGACCCCAGCCCTGCTTTCTGTTAGTGAGGCTCAGGTCCTGTCCACACAAACACATGCAAGTGGCGCTGCAGCTGGGAAGCGAGCTCCCGAGCACCTGCAGGCGTCTCCGGGCTACTGTCGCAGGGATACTCCCCCTAGAGAAGATCCGCACACATACTGCATGTTAAGTTCCGTGACCCGGTTTGGGATCCATTGTTTTTAATTTTCCTTAGCTAAGGGCTGTTAAACGGTGTTAATGTATTTAATGTTACGAATTTACTTTTCAAGACTTAACCGTATATGTGAATAGGCTCTTACCACTCTGTGATGGCTGTGTGGTAAAAAGTAGGCTTTTTATTGAAATGTTTGAGAACCTAATTAAACACATTGACATGAAAAAGTGGCTCTGTCAGCAGGACGTTACACGTTGTCAATGTGTGCTACGGTGTGGATTCTCCCCGAGAGTCAGTGTCTCCTCTGGAAGCTGGCTTGCACTCACTTCCTGCTCCCCACCCCTCTCTGCTTCAGATCGGAAGTTGTAGCAGCCAGATGGGTCAGATTGCCATCATCTCCTTCCAAAACTCCAGCCCCAAAGTCATTGAGTGCTTCAACGTGGAGTCGCGCATCCTGTGCATGGTGTACGTGCCCGTCCAGGAGCAGCACCGAGAGCCCAGCGCAGCCTCAGACCCCGAGCCCCTGACCACCCGCACTTCCGACGTGCCCACCATCTGCCTGGGCACGGAGGAAGGAAGGTAGCAGCACGCGTGTCCATGGACACCCTGGAGCCGGGGTGAGGGGGAAGGGGTGTGGGCACCAACCTGGGGACCCTGGATGGGGGCTGGAAACACGGGAAACCGTTAGGGTTGCTGCAGGCTGAAGGCCCATGGGGGTTGTCCAGAAAACTCCAAAAAGAAATGGGAGTTTTGTTTTTGTTTTTTTTGTTTAAGGAGCAAACATTTCAAACCATCCTTTTTGCTTCTTGCAGTGATTTATTTTTTAATAATTCATTTTATTAATGCTTTTTTTTTTTGGTACTGGGGTCGAACTCGGGACCTTGTGCTTGCCAGGCAGATGTCGGAACCACTGAGCTCAATCCCTAGCCCTTATTAATGCTTTTCAAAAGTATATCACACCTTACATTTTAGAATAAGACAGCCAAATTTTATGTTATGATCTTGCTGAGCATAGACTCATTTAAAGCAAAGTTAAAATGATTTTCCCAGTATAAAATTCCGAGATAAAAAATACAAATTAAAAATAAAATGTTATTGCGCTAAAAGTACCACAAAGTACTGAAAAGTACCATTTTCCCCTCACTTCAAACACACCTTGCCATCTTCTGAAGCAGTTCCCGAAGTCCTCTTTCATGAGTGTATTTTCGTGGCTGCCTGAATGTCCTGAATTCAAAACATTTATGAGTTTTTGTCAAAAACATTATGCTGTATACTTTTGAATCAGTGCAGGACATCAAGGCAGCCACAGCCGCATAACTAAAGACACTCATCAGTGTGTCTGGGGAGGGGTATTTGGAAGAGAATTAATGCAAAGTGTCTTTTACTGTAATGACCTGACCTTAAAAAATTAAAAAAAAAAAAAAAAAAAAAGTTAACATTCACCGTATTTTTTGATCACACCATGTAGATAGGGAGAACTAATTTTTTTTCCCCTTTTTCTTTTTTTGGTACTGGGGATCAAACTGAGGTCCTTGTGCTTATGAGGCAGGTGGCAGAACCTCTGAGCTAAATCCCCGGCCCCCAAGAACTAATTTCTGTAGAGCCCAGCATTTCTATTTAAAATATGAGGAAGAGATCTGAGCAGCTACAGAGAGCTTACGTGGCCGTGCGTCTCAGAGTGGGAGGGGCAGACGCCGGGACAGTGGCCGTGCACTCACTGACTGTGGCCAATGCCTGCATTTACCTGTGCTTTTCCTTTGAAGCATTTCCGTTTATAAAAGCAGCCAAGGCTCAAAGAAAGTGAGGCTGCAGCACTTCTTCAGCCCTGAGAAGTCCACGGTCGTGAGCCTCGCCTCCTCGCCGCGCGGCCTGCACGCTGGCCTGGTCAACGGCTCGGTGGCCAGCTACGCCAAGGCCGCAGGTAACGCTCACCACCCTGTGTGCTGCCGTCCGGGTCCTTGCTCACCTTCTCCTTGCCTGGGAGGCCCGGCTGACTGTCCACACCCCAGCCCTCAGGCGTCTCCCGAGTAGAGTACCAAGGACCCGGTGCCCCTTCCCACGAGGCAGCAGCGTTTCCTCTTCCTTGCCCACCATGGCCACCTTCCGCTTTTCATCAGGTCCCCTCCTGCAGCCCGCAGCCTGTCCATCAGCACGTTCTTATGTGGCTCTCAAACCTGCCCCAGGCCGCCCACCCCTGCCTGGCTCCTCACTGCCGCCACGTGTCCTGGCTCCCGCCTGTTCCTCCCCGAGCCTGCCTTCAACACAGCTGTGCATCTTCACCCCCGCTGAGCTACCAGGGCGGTCCGTGTGCTGAGCTTAAACCCGGTCCTGGCCCCCGAGCCCAGGCCTGCTCTGTGCAGTGCTCACCTCCCTGGGGGTCTGCCCCTCCCTGGGGAGCCGGTGTGATGTCTCACCCTTGACCCGTGACCTTTGGCACCCCCTCACACATCGGTGCCTGGTGTGGGTTGGTCCCTTCCTGGCTCTCCGCCCGCTGGTGGGTGCCCACCTCGCCTGGCCTCCTCCTCCCTGTCCTCACGTGACCGTGACTTCGGCGGTGCTGACCTGTGTCTCTGGCACCGACCCCCTTCCAGTCCTGCATCTGGACTGACCTGCGTCCTCTATCCTCCCGCGTGACCGCCTCAGTTCCCACGTGTGACTGTCACCAGGGCACTGTCCTTCCTGCAGGTTCAGCCTTGAGTCATCGTTTCACGGTCCCAGGTTCTCATCAGCTGTGGCTGAAATTTGAGCAGTTTCCTAGTTGGCTTCCCGTGTTTCTGTTGGGGATTTTTTTGATCACGTCGAGAGGGAAAAAATAAATCTCACTTCAAGTTTTGTAAGAAAAATGTCAAATTTATCCTTTGATAAAGTGCCCAGGTGCTGAGGCCGATTCTGTCCCGGGAAGCCCTGTGTGATGCAGGTGTCCTGGGGTTTTCCATGCACGGGAGAGGCGGCCGCCTGTCTGCCCAGCTTGGCTGCTCCTCGGGGCTCAGTGCGACTTCAAGGCCAAGGAAAAACCCTGGGCAGGGGTTGCTGCTCGGGGGCCATTGAAATTGCTGTGCGGTTTTCTTTGCTCTTCCACTTTTGTTGGGCTTTGCTGGCACAACTTGGCGAGCAGTTTCCTCCAGGGCTCTGGGAATGTCAGTGACTGGAAAGTTTTATCTGGGTCTCCAGAGCTGATTTTGGGTATGGACGTCTGCTTCTTCCATCGCTGGGGTTTATTTGAGCTTTTGAATTGTCCGAGCGGTTTGCCAGGCAGGTCGTGTACTCGTCAGGCACCTGCATGCCTGCTGTCAGTGCCTCTTACTCTTTACCTTCCCTCGTAAAGCTTCTTGGAGGAATGTAATTGTGCTGGGTTTTTCTCATACTCTGGATTCTAACTCCCATTATTTTATGCTTTTATACTTTTCTTTCTTGGGCTTTTTGGTGATTGTTCCTGGCCTGCTGGGTTTGCTTCAAGCCTGCTGCTGTGCTGTGCAGTGTGCCCCACATGGAGCTCTGCTGGCCTGCTCTGTCCTCACAGGCCCGAGGTCTGCCAGATGCACCGAACTGCAGCCAGGGACCTAGAAATCGAGCTGGGTAGGAAATGCCCAGATTGTCAAGTCTTGACTCAAAATGCCTTCGGCTTCCCAGCTACTGTGGAGGCTGAGGCAGGAAGAGTGCAGTCTGAGCCCTGCCTGGGTGACTTAGTGAGGCCCTGTCTCAAAAAATGGGAGGGCTGAGGTGTAGCTCTGTGGCAGAGCACTGCTCGGCTTGGTCCCCATTGCTGGGGAAAACAAAAACACAAAACCCACCAAATTAATGTCTTGTACGCGGAGTCTGGCTGTAGTGCCAAGGCCAGGCTGAGTGCCCTCACCTGGGCACAACCCCCGCAGAAGTCATCTCCAAAGGCTGCCCTGTTGGCCCAGATTCATGCGTGGGCAGGGTCCAAAGTTGCGGGTCGCCCCACCCAGGCGGACAGGCACACGGGACCTGTGGAGAGAAGGCCCAGGCACTCAGAAACTAGAGCTCAGCTGTTTGAGATTGCACCTTAGCCACAGTTCAGTGTCCAAAGTGGAGCCTCCCGCCCATCATCTGAGTTCCTGTTTCAGAGGCACCAGCCTGGCCAGCGGATGGGGCCCCACATGCAGAGTCCAGCTGCAGGAGCCCTGCACTCTGGGGCCGTGCCATGCCCCTGGGAGCCTGTGAGAATCAGAGAACACTGTTTCCCCTCTGCAGGGGAGGCTGAGAGTACCAGATAGCAAGGTCTGTGCATGGACGTGTGCACGCACATGTGCATGCATGCATGTCTGTGCCTGTGTGTGCATGTGTGTAATACCACATGATGATGCGCTGCACCTGGAGCAGAGGCAGACGCCTGCCCACTGGGGCTCTAACTGCTCTGTAGCAACCCGTAGCGTTCCTATCCAAGCTGGATTCTAGCTAGAAGTGTGCCCTGGAAGTGAGGGGCACAGAGCTTCCTCTCAGTGACTATATCTCGGCTCAGACAGCTGTTCAGAGATAGGGTTTGTGGTCGGAGCCTCAGTGCTTCAGGTCCAGATGAAGAGGAGCTGAGCCCTTGTTCTCCCTCGAGGAAGCTGCCTGTTTGATTTGGATGTCGGAGGTGGCACTCATCACTCACTTTTTTTTTTTTGGTATCAGGGATCAAACTCCGGTCCTTGTGCCTGCATAGCAGGCGGCGAAACCACTGAGCGAAATCCGCGGCACTCAGTTACATTTTTAAGCATGAAGACTGAGTGACTGGATTGAGAGTTGAAGAGTTAATTGTGTTCATTTGTAGGATAATTACATTACTCTAAAAATTTGTATTAAATCTTTCTTTTTTTTTTTTGATGGCACTGGGGATGAACCCAGGGCTTCATGCATGCTAGGCAAGTGGTCTACTACTGGGCTGAACCCCTGGTCCCATAGTAAGTCTTGCTTTAGATGGTTTGTATGGATATGAAAGCTCTTGTCTCGTAGTTCATATGTAGTATGGTATATCTCATCACAGGTCTTTGAAATATTTTCAAACCAAAATATTTCATCACTCCCGGGCCGTAGGAGAGGGAGCATGTTTTCAGAAAAGAGGAACTCCTGCAGCTACGATTTTGACTTTTCTCACACTGACACAGCCTCTCCTCGTGGTACCATACACATCACGCAATAGTTTAAGTCGAAGTAGATAATGGTGAAATGTGAACATTTGCCCCGTTATTTTGGATGCAGTTTCCCCTAATCATGACCTTTACATATTTTTGCAAATAATGGTATGTATTGAACACTCGTGTGCCAGATACTCTGCTGTGTTTTGTAAATGCATTTTCTCGTTTTTAATTCTCAAACACCGTTTGAGGCCAGTATCGAGGAAGTATTATTGCACTTTGCAGATAAGGAGACAGGTTTGGGGTGCAGGACACACGCCCGTGGTGACACGTCCTGCCTGTCATTGTCTGCTGGTCCCCACGAAGCTGCCTCCTGACAGCTTTAATTCTGGGGACCTGGACACCGGAAACAAACATGAGCATCAGAATCGTGATCTGTGTCTTGTCATTTAAAGTGATTTCTGGCCCTCTTTCTCTGTCCCCTTGCATGGTTACTTGTATACAAATGAAATTAGATGTTTTTTTTTTAAGATGGATCCTGGAATGTGGAACCACAGAAAGTCATAGACTTAGGCGTCCTTCCAGTCAGGAGCCTCCTGGTGATGGAGGACACTTTGTGGGCGGCATCTGGAGGCCAAGTGTTCATCATCGGCACCGAGACGCATGCTGTCCAGGTGAGTTGTCTGGCTCCTCGTGCAGGGCGATGGGAGCAGCCGGTGCCCTGCTGGCCTCTGATCGGGGGGGTGGGAGCACGGCAGCACTCTCCCTTGGCCTGTGCGGGAGGGACCCTCCCAGACTGCCCAGGACCCTCGGCCAGCCCTCTTCTAACCCCGTCCATGGGAGTAACTGCTCAGCATGACCCTGGCGCGGAACGGACACACACTCTACCAACGTGCTCTGGGAACACAGGGAGTGGCAGCCGCCACTCAATCCCTCTCGGCGCGGGGCCGCTAGTCTGAAGCGTGCCATCCACGGCTGGGAGAGGGGCACACCCTCTCCTCGGAGAACCTCACCCACCTGGATCCGAACTCAAACCCGGCAAAGCCTGGAGCCTCAGGAGGCCGGAGCAGTGGGTGCTGCTACCAGTTGGCCCGAGGAGGCCTCTCCTAGGGTGCCAGACACCAAAGCTGCCGTGCAGAAAAAGAAAATGTGCACAGGCATCCTGGAGTGCTTTCATGTGTGATACTGTACGTGTATGGAAGTATTTAAGAACTTGGGAAAGTTTCTTACATAATGACCAAGAATCAGTGTTCTTAATATACGAAGAATTCTCCTAACCCTTAAGAAGGCGGCCGACCTGATAGAAAACACGGAGAGGGCTGGGAAAGACAGATCCTGTGTGCGTGAGGGTGACACACAGCAGAATCCTTGCACACAGCCTTGGTCTCACTGATACGAAAACAAGGCGCTGCTAAGAAGCTCGGTGTTTAGAGCAGCTTCGGGCGCAGCACTCGGAGCAGAAGGCACCTGCTCCCATCCAGGGGCCCCTCGGCATGCACAGACGTGTGCGGGCCCGTGTCCACACTGCTGGCTCACACGCAGCAGTTGCGCTGCCCCAGACCCCTTCCCGTCCACGCATCCCTGCTCCTGGCTGGTGGCCACTGGCCTCCAAGACTGTTCTCCACACTGGCGGAGGAAGCAGGGACTGTCCGGCCCAGGTGGTGGGCAGAGCTCTGCAGGAGGGACCTCTGCCGGTGTGTCTGACGCTCACGCTCCCCCGTGTCAGTTGCTGTTTGGAGCAGCTAACACCCTGGGACCCAGATGAGCTGGAGCAAGCACAGAAGAGCCCACCACAGCGGCGCTGGGCGCCCCACAGGCCGGAGCTGTCCCTGGGGAGCCTGCGCAGGACCAGTTCTTAGAGCTGCACTGTGCAGCCGCAGAGGCGCAGGGGGAGCATGCATGCCCCGAGCCACGGTCCTGGTGCCCACTGGCCGCACCTTGGCGAGGACAGATGGGGTCATGTGTATGGCCGTGTGTCAGGGCGTGTGGGTGCAGCTGTGCAAGTGAGCAGGGCTGCCCTTCTCACCGTACCTCTCGCATGCCCCACCATGGGTTGGAGCTTTTCTGCGGTGACGGTGACAGTGACACAGCCCGGTTATCCGTCCACCCTCAATGCCTCCTCCCGGCCCCGAGTGCAGGGCTCAGCAGTGTTTCTCAGGCATCCAAATTAGTCTCATGCTTAGACGCCTTTACCTTCACATGGGGGCAGGAAGCAGGAAGAGAAGTGTACCAGCTGGGGCCTCCCCTCATGAGGGGTGTTGAACGGCTGTGTAAGTCTGGAAATTCAGGCTCTGGTCACTGCCAGCTCCTCAGAGAACCCATCTGCTTAGGGTCCAGGGGTGGTGAACGGGGCCCGTGTACCACAGCAGGCTGTTGATCACTGAAAGCTCCCAGGTTCGCCGTCAGTGAAAGGGTTAGCCCATTCTTCAGGCTAAAGGTCCACGAGTCACATCTTCAGGTTCCACAGAGCCCGTCCCAGGACATGTGTGTCCCGTGATGTCACCCAGGTGGCACGGCAGCTCCCAGTGCAGAGAATTTGTGCGTGTGCTGGGGACCAAACCCAGAGCACCCCGGCCCTCTGAGGACCTGTACATTGTGATGGCGGCTTCATCGGAACGAGCGGGGCTGGGGAGGAGCTCGGAGGGCCGTAGGGGAGAAGCAGCCTTGGCAGAGCTGAGCAGTCAGACTCGGGAGCACCGGAGCCTGCTGTTCTGATTTGCCTTCCGTGTTCCCCAGGCCCCAGCCCGCCGGGTGGTGATGGAGGACAGGAGAGGCAGCGCCTTGCTTGGGGTCAGGGCTTTTTCGCTCAGCTGCTCACAGTGGCTGTTGTGTGTCCACCCACCTGCTGCTTTGTATCTCCTGCATTCTCAGTGAGAAGCCCTTGGTCAAGCACAGAGCTGCAGCTGGCCAGTGCTACCAGGCTGGGCAGTGCCATAGCTGGGTGCCGGGTAGCTGTGCAGCCACCATCAGCCTCTGAGTTCCCTCGCTGGCCTTGAGCCCTGGTGGTGTCACCTTGGTGACCGTGCCCCTAGAAAGGCCCAGGGTTGGAACCCAGCCCAGCCACATACCACGGGTGACCAGGGCACCTCGCAGCCAGGCCCCTGTGCTCTGGGGCCATTGTCCTTCCTCGGCTGTGGGCAGAGGGCACGGCATGGCCCACAGGAGCACAGGAGCCCTGCACCCTCCATGAGCAGAGTAGGTGCTTCTCGGAATAAGTTCACAAGCCAGCAGTCACTCTCGTTAGTCTTCGTTTTTTTCCACGGAGAGGTAATAGTACATTTCTGTAAAATGTTTTTCCAAAAACAGTGCATTATTTTTACTGTAAATTGATACCGAAAAAGCTAGAAGATGGTTTCTGTAGCCTCCACCAAAAACCTTCTGGGGCAATTTAACCTCCCCAAAGTATGGCTTCATTGTAGTCTTCATATTATTTCCACATGCTTCCCGGAGTTTGTGTGCTAGAGATCTCCGAATAATACGTTTGGATGCAAATACAAGCCTGCAAACAAAAATAACAATATATTTATAGAGAGAACAAAAGTCTGCTCCCCAGTGAAAACAACTCATGCAGTTCCTGCTTTGTGGGTGCCTCGGCCCAGATGTCCATGTGGCCCTGAGGCCTCTATTCCCTGGGCCGGAGGGTGCAGCGTGGGGAGGAGCCTCCGCGGAAGGCACATCCAGGGCTGAGCCCTGCCTGGGCCGGGTGGAGCTGGGTGGAGGGATCTGAGCTTGGGGTCAGAGCTCCCCGGGGCTGGAGGCTGTGTGTCTGCAGGTGGGGTGCCCTGGCCCCAAAGCCTGGAAGTGCTAAGCATGTCACCCAGGGACAGGGTGCCACCACCTGCCCAGTGATGCTCCTGCCTCCCATTGGGCGTTAAGAGCAGACGGGAAAGCGTGTTCTGAAAACCACATGGCCACATCAGAAAGTGCAGCCACCCAAACTGCTCTCCACTTGGGGAGGCTTCATTTTTTCTCTTTCCCACGCACATGTGGCTTTTCTGCCCTGACCTTAATCCCTTTTTAAATTTTAGAGACTTAAAACCCCTATGCAGCTCTGAAGCCAGTCTGACCCTGAGCACAGGGGTGATTATTCTGGATTTCCAGCAGGCGCTGAGGTCATGGTTTACTTCTTAGAGCTGTGGATCACAGCTGGTCTCAGCTGGATCACTGTAGCTGCTTAACTGTAAAGCCTGCTGTCCTCGCTGCTGAGTTTCTGTGGTACACAGGCCTTGACTGAGGGCAGACCGGGTCAGGCAGAAAGAGAAAGGATCTCCCCTACCGAGGGGAAAATAGTGAGGGGTGGCCGGCCAAGGCTTTAAGGTGACAGCCCCTCAGAGATCGTGTCTCCACTTCTCCTGAGAACGAGGTCCTTGTCCTGGGCAGCCTGGCCTCTGCCCTGCGCCCTGCTTCCACCCAGACACCTCGGGCAGGGCGGACAAGGAAGTCCCATAGCCCAGTGCTCCGGTTTCCAACACAAAAAGGCCCAGAGAGAGCGGAGCCAGGCCCAAGCCCTGGTGCCACATTGCTGCTCTGCAGCTGGTTGTCAGCAGGAACCTGCCTGTGCCCCCAGCCCCAGGCCCGAGCACAGAGCCCCAAAGGCCAGTGGGCAGTGGTACTGGGGGCCCATGGGTGACCCTTCTGCCTGGACCTCCATGGCACCGAAGCCCACACCGCAGGTACTGCTCACCGTGAGTGTCAGGATGGCTGCAGCAGAGCATCAGACTGTGGGCCTCAGTGGGCTCTGGGTGATGTTCCAGTCTGGTGCCCTCTGTCAGCCGTGAGGATGCAAAGCCGAGGATAAGCCACATGGAGAGGCATGCGTGCATGTGTGTGCATGCGCGTGCATGCGCGTGCATGCCACTTCAGGTGCACACTGCCCTCAGGTGCCTCCTGACTACAAGGGGGCCACTGAAGGCCAACCCAGGCTCCTCTCTGGGAGCAGATGGGTGGGTGGGTTTTGTGAGCACCACCCTAGTCTTTGGACAGCAAGCACCGAAGGGCTTTCAGTTCAGAACAGATGCTTAGGAAATTTGTGTCTTCAGACTGTTTTGCCAGCCAGCAGCTTGCAGCTGGAGACGAAGGCTGAAATTCAATCGAGGTGACTGCAGAATCGGGCTGCGGTTGAGCCCCACATCCTTTTAAGAAGGTTTGGTGGGATGGCGGCTGGCAGCCAGAGGGAGAGAGGAGCATGAGACTTGCCTTACACACCGTGGCTTTCTGGGTGTGGGGACTTCTCCGAGCAGGCTTCCTGCCCCTGCCCACTGCAGGTGTCGGGAGTAGGTCCCCTTGGCTGTGAGCTGCAGTGGAGACTCCTGAGCGAGCTGCCTGTAGCTTCTCCCTGCAGACTGGACGGCTGTGGTGCTCAAAGTGGGGGTGGCTGGAAGGGAGGGAGGAGCCCAGCTTCCTCCTCCTGCGGTGACCGCAGCCTTCCGTGCTTGTGTAGCCAGGCAGTGGACATCACATGTCCATGTCCCTGTCCCTCTCCCCGCCCTGGTCCTGGCAGCGTGGCTCCTCTGGGAAGTTGGTGCTGGCTGCAAAGGTCCAAGTAGAATCAGGTCTCGCTGCCCCACGAGGACAGTGGCAAGGGTGCTCTGAGGCTCCTGAGGGCCGGGCTTCTCGTCCCCCACGTTGGTGTCAAACACGGGGTGTTCGGACGGCCGCCCTTACTGCCCCCGTGCTGGCTTTTGCCCAGGGCGCCTGCTGTGCTGTACTGTGGAATGTCCGGAGTTACAAGCTACACGTGGAAAGCCAGCCTTTCGTGGGTGGAGTGTCACCGCAGGGCCCTACGTCTTTGTGCCACAGCCACCTATCCTCTAAGAGGCCCTGAGGTTGGAGACCTGCAGCTTCCTGGGTAGCACAGGGTCACATCAGGACCGTAGAGCACCCGCCCTGATCTCCCAGGTCGGCAGGGCCCCTGAGCAGGCGTGGGTCCCCGTGTGCAGCCAGAGTTGAAGCCCACTGGAGGCAGTGCAGAGGGCAGCTGTGCTCCAGTGCTGCGGGAAGAGCCACTCAGGACAGGCTTGAGATGGGCCAGGGCGCTGGCCTTTGAGGCCTGGAGAGAAAGGCCAGGCTGAGGTGTCTGGGGAGAAGCAGTCTGGCTTGTGCCCTGGCCAGGGTGCCCAGCACCGCAGCTCAGGGCCAGCCTCTGACCATGCCACGGCGCGGAAGAGTACATCGGAGTGAAAGGCTCTGCCCGCATGCGGACTCCAGGAGGCCACAGCAGAGCCACCAGAGTCACTGAACCAGGTGGGCAGGGCTGATGGAACGAGTTTGCTCCTCCACACTAGCAGCATGCAGCCTGGGAGTGAGCTGAAGACAGCCCCGTGCGGCTCCTGTCCTGGTTCGAAGCCTGTCACCACCGCCTTCCTCTCCGGGAGCCTTCGGCTGGAGGAGCCATGAGAACAGCCGGCACATTTGCCCTCAGCAGTCACAGTGGGCACTGCACAGGGTGGGGCTTGGGTGGGGCTGAGCGCTGGGCAGGCACAGTGCCTCCAGGGGGTGGCAGCCTCAGGCTTTGCCTGCATCAGAGGTGTGGTGCAGGTGCAGCCCGCTTTCTGGGGGGTGCCATAAACGCTTCCCGACACCCCCTACCTGGAGGAGGGCACCGTTTCAGTCCTCGGCTGGCTCCGTGGCAGAAGCAGCGTGGCACAGGGGCACAGTGGAGGAAAAGGTGCCCAACCTGTGGCAGCCAGGAAGCAGAGAGGGCAGAGCTGGGGACGGGAACACATCCTTCCCGGCCACACCCCGGTGACCACCTCTGAGCAGTCCACCTGCCGATAGCATACTCAGCGCCCCACCATCCAGTTGCCCTCGATGCACCTTGTATCCCAGCCATCCTGGGGTTTAAGTTGCGTCATTTCAGGTCAGAGCTGTTCTGGACAGTGATTGCTGTGAACTCGGCCTGGCATGCTGCGGCACTGTGAGGCAGCTGAGCTTCCGCCCCCGGCCACCCACAGTCCTGTGGGCTGTGACAGCCACTGCAGCTTGCTACTGGCCTGGCCCTGTGCAGGGCAGTGGTGGTACCAGGTGCTGGTAGGATGGGTGTCCGGGCACAGGGCGGCACCCAGGACCAAGGCCAGGATTGTTGACAGCTGGGGAAGGTCTGAGGGTCTGGGAAAGCCTGGTTTCCTGGCTCACTGTCGTCCTCTTGCTCCAGCACCAAGCTGCCTGGCAGCCTGTGATGCCATAGGACAGGCGCTCTCCCCATGGGAGCCACAAGAAGCCAGCTTTCCTCCCAGGGAGGCCTGGTGTCCCAAGTCTCCTGTCCTGGGCCCATGCAGGTGCTGCAGTACTCAGACAATCCCAGGGAGTTCTGTGAATCACGCTGTCATTCTGCTGTGGAGTGAGGGCCTGGGCCTGCAGTCAGCTGCAGCTGGGAACCATGTCCCATGATGCCGTTCTGCCTGGCCTCCCCTCGTGGCCTCCGCAGATGCTGTGCTCAGGGCTGTTGGCTCTGCTGCACCCTGACTCGTGGGCCTTCTCTCCACCCAGAGCCAGCTGGAGGCCCACCAGGAGGAAGGCATGGTCATCTCGCACATGGCTGTGGCTGGTGTCGGGCTCTGGGTTGCCTTCACTACCGGGTCCACCCTCCGCCTCTTCCACACGGAAACGCTGAAGCACCTGCAGGATGTCAACATCGCTGCCCCTGTGCACGGCATGCTGCCAGGTACAGGCCAGGGACACTGCCACCAGAATTGGGGTAGAGCCACGGCCTGCCTTGGGTGCGGGAGTAGGGGCACTGGGTGCTGCCAGGTGCAGGGTGGGGCCTGCAGTGGAGGCGGGGTGAGGCTCCCCGGCCCTGGTTCGAGTGCCCAGAGTCCCCCATGTTGGAGCAGAGCCACGGTCCCATCCCTCCCTGGGGAGCGGGTGACGAGCATGATCTGTGTCCATGAAGCAGAAGGAGGGCCCAGGGGTAATAGAGAGGTAGAGATGGAGGAGGAGAGAGAGTCCGTGGAGGCAGCATCTCAGCCGGGCTCACCGTGCATGGGGCGGGAGGCAGGCGGTGGAGGACCGGAGGGGCCGGTGTAGACACTCAGAGCTCGACACAGGTGCGGAGTCCTTGTTCTCAGCTGTCTAGCACTGTCTTGTGGTGCTGCTGCTCTCTGCAGACAGCTGGTCAACCTCACAGGCAGATTCAGTGACCTTACGTGCTACTGAGCTTGGTTTCACTGAGGTTGACCTTGCTCTTAGAGGATG